TCCCAGCTTACCTCCGTTGCCGGGGAGGACCAACGATACTAACAACACCAAGGTTCTCAGTAACCCCCGGACGGTCTCGCGTCGAGCGATTCTGCGTAAACCCAGCCCTCGCCCCGCCAACCCAGGACTGACGCCCTCTCTCAAACCCAAGCCCCCGAAGCCGAGCCCGCCCGCGCTATCCAAACCGCCCACCAATCCACGCTCGACGACGCCCTCGCCGCCACCCAACGCCAGCTCCCCAGCCTCCAGATCCGGCACCAAAACCTCCGCGCGGCGCACGAGACGCTGAGCCAGCAGATCGGGGCGCGGAACAAGCAGATCGGGGAGTGGAATGAACCGCTCCAGGATCTGAGGGCCCGGTTGGGAATCAAGAGGCGGGGTGTGCACTTTTGATGAATGTCATAGTTTTGGTTGAAGGGTGAGGAGAGGGACTCAATACGAGACAACATTGGTCATCGTTGGGACCGGAGACGGTAAAGGAGCCATTCTGGTAGTTAGTGATGGTATCGCCAATTGTCGACGGGATGGTAGCCGCTGGGCAAAGAGCGCTCCACATTTTTCGATGCGTTCCCGCATGACGAAGAAGGTGCGTTGCCACGGAGTACACAGGAAGGCACTCGACGAGCCTGTTTGCCATGAAGAAAAAAAAATCACCAAATAAACGGTACGCGGACGGGGTCCGGATGGATGAGAGGGTAGTAGGTGCATGGGAAACGGCAAACGGAATTCCCCTGGACAAGGCTGGCTCGCTTCTCGAGGCTGCGCTGTTGTCTGTTAGTTGATGTGCAACAGGAACTCGTGGCGGCATGGCATCAGTTGGGCAAGCGGGCTTTTTGCGTTCAAGTTGCCAACCTGTGCCTAGTCACAGAATGCAATTTCAAAAGATGGAGAAAGCAGACGGCGGCGGCTGGCATGGAATGCAGACGCAATCAATCACGGGTCGTGGGCGAATCTTGGAACCAATGTCGGTGCGGATACTGAGTCTCAAGTCTTGACGCAAGTCATCAATCAAGGCGCCAACTGCGAACCTGCCTTTCTCGATGCTTCAAGCCAATCAGTCCTCTCCTCGCACAGCTGCTTGGATCGGGTGTTGCTGAAGCGAAGACGGCCCCTGCTTGGCACGGCCCAGCCCAGCCACAGCATTTCCCCAACTGGTCGCGCTCTTCCCCTCCTGCCAACCCCCCGCCACCATATCACGTGGCTAGGCCCCTTGTTTTCCCAGGCTGGGCGTGGCGGGACGCAGTCGGGAAATTTTGCTGTCATCTTTTGCTGTGATCCGAAGTGTGCGGGCAGGAAAGCAGCCGGTCGAGCTGTTTGAGCTGCAGAGCTGCCATCGCCCATTGACGTCCCAGCATCGCGCTGCCGGGCACTAGCGACTCGGGGACAGCCATCTGGAGGCCGTCGTCGCTTTTTTTTTTCCTGTGCCGGGACGCCCCTGCGCAGCTTTCGGGGGCTGGACTGGTTCTGATCTGGCTCGGTCTGGTCGGTCGTCTCTCGCTGGAGCCTGTCGCTGTCTCTTCCCCCCCTCGGCGCGCGGCACTGCTGAGAGTTTCCCCTTCCCCAGCCACCCACACTACACACACCCACTCCCACCGCACCGCACACCGTGACTGGCAGCCAGCGACCACAGCGACCAGGGCGACTGCGCTGAGTGCATCCCCACGCTGCCGCTAACGACGGATACCTCCCACCGCTCGTCCTCCTCTCAACAACTCGCCGGCGGCTGACGCATTCCCGGGTCCCTAACCTGAACGCACCCGTCATTCCATCACCGCCAACCAACACCGCACACGCGTTCCTCGCCTGCCTTTGGCCCCGAGCACCTGTCCATCATCCTCTCCACTGCGCCTGCGCACCTCCCAAACGCGCTGATTCCCCGTCGCCAACCCGCGCGATCCATCGATCCAGGAAATTTCCGTCCCGAGTTATTTCCGTCACCGGCTGGCGACCACGTCTCCTCCTCGCGGGCGCAACCATCGCACCCGTCGCATCCGCCCACCCTCGCATCCGCACCACCGCACACCCGCCGCCGCACCACTCCCGGCAGCCATGGCATCGGCGCGCAAGAGGCCCAGGGCTGAGCCCGAGGACAACCGGGCTGAGTGCCCCTTCAGCATCAAGATTGTCGACCCCAAGGACAAGGAGCAGAAGAAGAAGAAGCGCCGGCGCACCGAGAGCGGCGAGGAAGAGGACACATCGCAGAGGATCAACCTCCAGATGTCGCCCTTTGCGCCCGGTGGCAGGTTCAAGACATACGAGACCATGGACCTCCACTACCAAGTCGACCCAGGCAAGAGATGGACCGACATGACGCGTTACAATAGCTTCGTCCGTAAGTCTTTTTTTTTATAGTTTTTTTTCCTTCACTCTGGCGCCTACGCGGATATGCGCACGCGCGCCGGGACAGAGAGCTGACAAATTCTGCCTCGCGCCGCTCATAGTCAACGGCACCAAGTACTTCAGTGAAGGCTTCATCTACGTCGCGAACGACTTCAGCATCGAGCGCCAAAAGGCCGTCAACAACAACGAGCCGGTGCAGCCGAGGAAGAAATCGGACAAAGACTGGGTCGCCCGCATCCTCGAGATCCGCGCCAGCGACGAGCACCATGTCTACGCCCGAGTCTACTGGATGTACTGGCCCGACGAGCTCCCGCAGGGCACCCACGAAGGCAAGAAGTCCATCCAGGGCCGCCAACCCTACCACGGCATCAACGAGCTGGTCGCGTCCAACCACAGTAAGCCTGCCGCCCCTCATCCCGCGCCTCATCGGCCTGACTATGGCTCTCTTGGGCGATGCGGCATGATACTGATCCCCGCGCAGTGGATATCATCAATGTGGTGAGCGTCACGGCCCAGGCACAAGTGAAGCAATGGTTTGAGGAGAACGACGAGGAGATACAAAACGCCATGTACTGGAGGCAGGCGTTTGACGTCAGGACATATGAGCTTTCGGTGCGCACCCTTTTCACTACAGCCCCCCTTCGCTCGCTCCGCCGCGTCGTCATGTGCTAATATCATGCTCCGTCTCTAGTCCGTCGAGTTGGTTTGCAGCTGCAACACACCGGGGAACCCAGACAAACTGCTGATCGGGTGCACAACCGAGTCGTGCAAGAAGTGGATGCATGAACACTGCGTCGTCGAGGAGGCCCTCAAGGCGGCATACAAGCGGCTGGGCACCGACAAGCCACACCTGCCCGCGGTAACGACCAAGAAGGAGGAGGACGGCGACGAGGGCACGCGCCCCCTGAGCCCCACCGAGACGGGTGTCGAGGGGTCTACCGAGCACTCGATCGACGTCAAGGCCGAGAGCGGGTCGTTCGACGTCGGCACACGAGACAACGTCGAGGCTCGGCAGTCGGCCGACGACGAGGACGCCCAGGCCGCGCCCGAGGATTCGCTCCCCCTGCGGCTAGCGGACAAGACGCGTGCGGCGAGCGAGAACGCGGATACACCGAGCAAGGTGGCGGGCGCAGCGGGCGCCGGGAGCAGCAGCAGCGGCGCCAAGTCAACACCGGGCCGCAAGGCGGGCAGGCCACGGAAGAAGGGCGCGGAAGCCAACGGCGACAGCGCGCGGCCGTGGGAGGGCCTGTTCGAGGCAACGCTCAAGACGGAGAAGGGCCCGCCCGTGATCGAGTTCCGCGACCTGCGCGAGGGGGTCGTCGGCGGTGAGAAGACGTGGACCGAACGGGTCAAGTGCCTGCTCTGCGGGAACCAAGTCAATTAGGAGCCGGCACTGGAACCTCTGGAGGAGGAGGACCCCGTGATCGAGGCGGGAACGGAGGGGGGTTCGGACGGGCGAGACCAAGTAGGAGGGGGGGGGGTCGAGGAGGAGGAGGAGGTTGAGCACGACGTGGGACAGGACGAAGGCAATGAGGAGGTGGTGGAGAACGAAGAGTGCGACGCAGAGGGCATTTCGGACGATCCCAGTTGGTAGGCGGCAGCTTTGTGGTCGTGGCGCCCCCGCTGGTGGCAATAACGCACTGGGGACCTCATTTTCTTTCAACAGCCGCTTTATCATCCGCTGATGAACGGGCAAACGCGCTTCATACCAGGGGGATGGGGTTTCTGCAAGAATGAACCCGGGAACGCGGCTGTTGTGATGGAATCCCACCGGTGAACACTGATGGGAGGGGAGAGAGTTGGAGTCTTTTTCGCTTATTGTTCTTTGTCTTGTTTCTTCTTAATGGAACTGGAGTAAAAGGGGCTGAATTCGGATTTTTCTTGTTATTGCTATGACGAAGAGTGGGAGATTAGAAGGGGGGTGGAGAAGGAGAATAAGAAAGGGGGAAGGAGAATGAGAGGGTGAGGGAGGCGCGTGTTCTTTCTGTAGTAAATTCTTGGGGGCCCTGGCTCGGTTGGAGGGAAAAGGGAGAGCGGAGTGTGTGAGCGAGGGAGAGAGTTCGAAGGATAGGCCAAGTGGCAGTTGCTGCAATGACCCCCGAAACGCAACCGCATACTGCGGCCGGCTTGTGTGTTGCGGTCTGTCAGTCGGCCTGTCGACCATACGTTCTACCTATCTACCTATCTATTCCGTACAACCTGAGTATCTGCTTGGCGAGTGATGCGGTGATGGTTTCGGTTCTTTTTCACTGTGGTCAATCGGTAGGCGGGTTGGTGATCCACTGGGGGCAGAGATGGAAAGCTGGGTGGGAGAGGGGACTCGAAGGGGGCTCGAGGGCTGAGAACATATGGCCACTGACATGCTGGCTTATGCCGCGTCCTTTCTCCTTTTAATTCCGAGTCGAGGGCAGGCAAAGGGGGGTTTAGCTTGCTTTAGTGACTAGAAAGAATCTCAAGTGGTGGTGGATGTAACTGTCGGCTTCTTGTACGCCTTGTTCTTCCTGAGTACCAATTCGGGCTCCTCCCATGCTAGCCAAGTCCACGGTTTGATGGCCCCGCCATGACCTCGCCATGACCTCCCTTGATAAATCTTCATGTTCGCCGTCCCAGAGACTTGTTCAAACCGCAAAAAGACATCCGATGTAGCCACCTACATAAAATGACCGCGGCAGGGCTCGAACCTGCGATCCTCTGCGATGGGACTGTAAAGCAGATGCCTTAACCACTGGGCCACGCAGCCATGCATGGACATGATTGGCAGAATGCGAGCTTAACACACCGGTCCCAGCCCTGGCAGCATCCTCCGATTGGCTCCTCGCTCCGCAGCTCGATGTCAGTGTTGCCTGCCCAGAGTTCAGGGCCCTCCTTGCAGGCGACAAAAAAAAGTTGGAACTCAACGCGTCGACGACTCAACAAGGCACACGACACACAAGATGAGCGGCATGCGGGCCGCCAACAGCCTGCTGCGCGGCAACGCCGCCGCCGGGGCATCACTAAGGTTCGCCGAAGCACTCCCCAAGCACCCAATGGCTCGCCCGGTCACTGAAACATAGCAAGCCCAACGCTAACGATAGCTTCAGCAGCAGCAGGAGCCGGCTCTTCACAGCAACCTCCCCACGGTCGACACTACCGACCTCCCACACGACTGCAGCCTCTGCAGCCTCTGCCGCCCGCCCCGCGCCGTGGCACACCATCCCCGCAGCAGCAACAGCCCGGCCATTCTCCCACACGGCAACCCGCGGGGGGAGGAAGTCAAAGAAACAGCAGCGGCAGATAGAAGAGGCGGACGAAGAAGCCGAGGAGGCGGCCGAGGCCGAGGCCGCTGAGAAGCTCCGCGCCAGATGGCCCAAAGCGGCGGCGGCGCCGCCCAAGCCCGCGCCCGCGGCTCCCGCTGACCCGAACCGCCTCACCGCTGACCCGAACCACCCCTTTGACCTCGCCGACCTGCACAACAACCTCGCCAAGTCGGAGGCGTACTTCACCGAGGAGCTGAAGAAGCTCCGCTCCAGCGGGCGCTTCAACGCCGACGGCCTGGGCTCTCTCCTCGTCCAACCCGACCGCAAGTCCGGGCAGACCTTCCCGCTCCGCGAGCTGGCCACCGTGGCGCCCCTCGGCGGCCGCCGCTGGTCGATCCTCGCCTTCGAGGAGTCGAGCGTGCGCGCCATCGCGAGCGCGGTCCAGCGCTCCGAGGCGTTCAACCAGCAGCCGCAGCGCAGCGCGGACAACCCGCTGGAGCTGGTAATGAGCGTGGAGCCGGAGCGGGGCGAGGCGCTGGCGCGGCGGGCGCGCGAGGCGTGCCAGGAGTGGCGCACGCGCGTGCGCGAGGAGGCGCACCGCCGCGAGAAGGCGCACAAGAAGTGGCGCGGGGAGGGGATCCTGACTGCGGATGACGTGGTGCGGCTGAAGAATATGGTGCAGAAGGTGCAGGATGATAAGATGAAGGCAATCCAGGGGAAGGAGAAGGAGGTTGTGGGGGCGATTATGTCGAGGGGGAGTTAAACCGGAGCATATAGAGGGGGTAGAGGGGGTGGGATAGACTAAAAGGTGGCGTGTGTATGTGTACGAGTTTATGTGTGTTGGGGGGGGAGGTATGTGGGCGCGGGTGGGTGTGTTTTTTTTCTTTTTTGGTCTTCTATTGGTGAAACCAGGTAGATAGATACCTTTGTACAAGTAGTACACTGACGACAAAAAATCCGGACGGGGCTGAATACATATGGTACACTTGAGACGGGGCTCGTCCGTCTTTTCCTCTCTCCCCTTCGTCCCTATCCGCTCAAGTTTCCTTCACTCCTCGTGCTCATTTCCGTGCCGGTGCTGCGGCGGGCTTCTTGGTACCCTGCGCCGGCAACAACGACAGCACCTTATCGGCAAACTTTTGGGCGTCGGACCCCATGTAGGTAAAGGTGCGGGAGTGGTAGTTGGCCATGGTGCCCTTGACGTTCTTGATATCGGCGAAGCCGTGGGTCTCGTAGTGGCCGAGGATGGCACTGCCGATGATGGCCTTCTTGGTGGCGTCGTTGGGCTCGGCGATGCGGAGGCGCGGGTTTGCGCTCTCGATCCAGGCCTTCTCCTCCTTGCTGTGCACGAAGATGGGCATCTTGGCCATGTAGCGCTTCTGGACGACCTTGAGGTCGGCGGTGACGCCCGACTCGGCGTTGAAAGCCATGCCGCCCGTCATGAGGCGCATGAGGCGCATGGCTGACTCGACCTGGCCGAGGGACGCGTCGGTGGCCATGGCGGCGCCGTAGCCGGCCAGCGAGTCGACCGTCACGCTCGGCTCGAACGGCACCACCTCACCCTTTTCGAGGCGGTCAATCACCGCTTGCTCCTCCTGGCTCCACACCACTTTGCCCTGCGTTTCTTCCTTGCCTTCCTTCGCCAGCTTCTTCATCTTGTTCTGGCGGGTGGCCGCTCCGCGCCCACGCCCGCGCCCACCCCGCCCGCGCTCGCCGCCCGCGCCGCCAAACCTGCTGCCGCCGAACCTGCTGCCGCCGCCGGCACCAAAGCGGCCGCTTCCTCCTCCCAGGCCCCCGGCCCGGCCGAACGGCGAGATGTCGCGCAGCCCGCCGCGGAGCCCGCCGCGCAGGCTGCGCACGTTGAGCACGCGGCCGGCGGCCGGCGCGTCGGGTCCCCCGGCGAGCGCCACGCGCAGCGAGCGGGCATCCACGCCGGCGCCCGTCCGGTCGGTAAAGTGGGTGCGCGGTTTCAAGTCTGCCAAAACGCCATCCAGGTTGCGGGGCGTCCTGTTGAGCTGGGCGAGCTTCTGGACGGCGGCGTTCCGCGGGCCGTTCCGGCTGCTGCTGCCCCCGTCGTTGTTGTCGCTACTGCTGCTGCTGTTGCTGCTGCCGCCGCCGCCACCGCCGGTGGTGGTGAACCGGGAGACGGCGGCCGGGGCGGAGGGGAAGAAGGTCGTCGGGGTCGGGGTGCTCAGCGGCAGGCCGCGGGCGGGTGCCGCTGTTGTGTGGGGGGCGGCGGCGCGCCCGAGGGCGGACCGGACGGCTTGCCGGTTCATGGCGAGGGCCGTTGTGTGTCTGTCTGGCTGGCTGTGTCGTCGGCGAGCGAGCCTGACGAGAGGGAAGCTGCCTCTCTCTCGCCGGTTTCCGGATCGGCGAGGACCCCGATCCTGGTGGTCGGGTTCGGAGGGTCGTTTGGTCGGTCGGTCAGTCGGTCAGTCGGGGCCGTGGTGGGCGAGTTGCGAGAGCGAAAATGGCTTGACGTTCGGGTTGAAAATGTTAGCCGGGCGATGATTGGTCAATTGTTGGGGCCGAGGTGGGGGCTTAGAGCCAAGACCTTGGTGGTGCTTAGATGGAGCTTTAGCAGTTGCTTCCAACTTCACTTGTCCCCATTCAGTCACTTAAAGTACTTTTTTACTCAAAAAACACTTGGATTGGTTGAGGGTCCTGGTCCTTGAGAAGCCGCGGCCACCATCTGCGAGTTTTAGTCTCAGACTTGCTTCAATTTCCATTGGGCCCAAGCTCAAGCTCGAACTCGAGCTCGAGACCCAGCTCCGTGGTCCACTCCTCCCTGACTGCAAGCTCAAGGAAAAAAGACAGCGGGCATGGAGCTCGACCCGCGCATGTTGTGAAGTTTTGCCAATAAGAAACCGCGTGGAACTTGTGCCTGCGCGGTTTGTTGACGATCGTATAAGCTGCAACTTTAACAGATATTGATATACCAACATTTGACGTTCATGGTGTGGCAAACCGACCTACGAAGCGGGGAGAACAGAAACAAAAAAAATCAGGCAGAGAGGACACCCAGAATCGGGCCTCCCCACCAAGGCTTTGGCCTGGGATGTTTGAGGAGCAGATGCAAATCCTGTCCGCCCACAACGGAGACCAGTTCCTTAACTTCTCCGACCTCACCCCGTACCGCATAAAGCCATGCACCAATACCACGAGCTGTCATATACCCACAAGACGGCAACAGCCAGCGCCTATGGTGGCATACTTTTAATCACCACCATCCCGACAAGCCTGCCGACTCCGGAAAGCTGGTCCGTCTCCCTGACGCCATGAGGGAATGCATAGAACATCCAGGGCAGGATGATACTCACTCACCGCCGCTCCCCCTTCTCCCACCTAGCTCCCCCATCACCCCCCCCCCCCCCCCCTCCGCCCCAAGATAACAGCCCACCAAGCCTCCTGCACCGAACGGCCTGGCCGCGCCACTTCCAAGACTGCCCGCAGAGCTAGTCCTGCACCTCCCTCTCCAACCGAGCAGCAACCGATGGTATCAAGATCAAAATCAAGATCGGGATCGAACCGCCGAGCAGCACGCGACGAGCGAGTGAACCGTCGGTCTATCTATCTATCGGCCACACGCCCCCAGTAGCAACAGCAGCAATCGCCCGCCGGCCGAACCGGGGACGTCAGCTCGGCTACGTCGCAGAGAAGCACTATATATCCCACATTGGACCCATTGGCTCTCACCTAACGCTGCACGCGAGAGAGGGGACGTGAGTGTGTGCCTGCATGAGCGTGGCCCGAGTCGATCGGTGCGGCCGTTGAGGGAGCAGGGGGGGGGGAGGGGGGTTGTTTGTTTGCAGAGCCCGCCTAAATACGTTACAAGCATTCTGCGTATGCATACCAGAGTACATGGCATAGTAGATGGACAGGGAGGGACTCCTCGCGTTTGCTTGTGGGTGTACATGTTTGCTCTGGAAGCGAGTAACGGCTTTTCAAGCGCCGGCACTTGAGCCCGTCCGTGGTCTCAGGCCAAGCCCGGCTTCGCGAGGATGAGTTGACTGCCCTGCCGTGCCTGCTCTGCCGTGCCCTGTTTGCCTATCGTCGTACAAGGCATGGAGGGGGGCGGGACGGGACGGGGATCCCTCGGCACGCCATTCCGAATCGTTGATAGTGTTGTGGCGTGCATGCAAGGGCGGGCGTGGCGTGGTGTGGTGTTGCAGTTTGGCCGCCGCTTGCGCCCGCTGTTGGATCGGTCGGTCGGCTGGCCGAGGGGGGGGGGTTGGCGGAGTGGTGGTGAGGGAACGGATCACGACATACTGTGTAGTACTATGTATGTTATTTGAGGCCAACCAGCTTCGATGGACTGGGCCCGGTAGTTAATCATGTTTTTAGCACGGGCAATGGGATCATTCTAACCCGGGGTCCGGCTTGTTCCAGCACGAGCTGCTCCGGATAAACATCTTGAGAGCGCCTTGGCGGCAGTCCGTTGGGCCGGATCTCGGGAGGGCTATATCGGCACCGTTCGGTCTCGGGCGGCAGGGGCAGAGGTAGC